AACTTACACTATAGTCATGTATATACAGTATTCAGCCTCACTGACAATTTCTATAATTTGTTATTCTAACAGTAAATTTTAATACTTTGAGAGCCTGGGACTGGTGCTCTATTCATGTCTATCCGGACTTGTGTGTGTAGGTTCATTACTGACAGAAGCAGTAGCAGAAAGAGGGCAAATGGTTTGTAACAGACCTTGTCTATCTTACAATCTTCTGTCTAGTTCTGTCATGTTTATATAAATAAGTTTGCACACATTCAGCTTTGATTTATTGCATGTTTTTTTTTTTTTATAAGACCCTTGACCTTTCTTTGTCCAGTAACAGTTGGCTCTCGTTGGTATGGGGGGGGGGGTTGTTAATGAAAAGAACATTTGGAGCAGTGGTTCTCAATCTATTTTGCATGATGCCCCCATTTCATGTCATTCCCCTACCTTTTCAATATTGTCCGACTGAAAATGTGTATTCCAAATAATATGCATATACTGTTGAAAATCTCCATTCCTTCTTTTTTCTAATAGTACATAGACATTTACATGGATTATTTTTGTAGTGGCAAAAACACAAAAGCTAGTGGAAAAAAAAAAAAAAAAAAAAAAAAAAAAAACACAGCATTACTTCAATTGTGCAGACTGATGCACATTGTGGGTTGTGCCAGCTTGGGAAGTTTGAAAGTTAACATTTTGAGTCTACCAATCTGTGGCCCTAAATCCTGACCTAGGAGGTGGAATTCCCCACTAGTTGAGAACCCCTGAGTTAGGACTAATAACACTTTATATAAAGAGAGAAAATATCTTTGTAATTTTGAAAATTTTAGAAAACTGTAAATCTGTCATACTGCTCTAGAGGCAATTGGGTGGGCCAGGGAAGATTTAGTCTTACCAAATCATAATGTATTCTATTTGGTTTATTTCAGATTCAAATCTTTGGAGAGCTTTTGCCAAACTCATTTTATGGGTTCTTTGGGGTCTTTTAAAAAAAAAAAAAAAAAAAAAAAAAAAAAAAAAGACTCATTTCACCCTAATCTAGAAATTAATGTCACTAAGACACAAGGGGTTATTGAGAGCAAAAGAGAAGACTTTAGTGAGAAGAAAGGACAATAAAAGAACAGGTTTCAGGAAGACAGAAGACGATGATTGATATTGCATTTAAATTTTTGAATATTGTAGTTGGCAGAGTATTAAGAAACTGGAAGAGAGTTCCAGAGGTGTGAAGTGCAAGAAAAACTATTAGAATAGAACTTCCAGTTACATCTAGTTAGTTCAACAGTAAACCAATGAGACCAAGTAACCAATACTTAAATTCATATAGTCAAGGATCCAAGGAGATTAGGTTATGTGTTTTTTTATTTTTTTTTAATCTTAGTTACTTCCTGCTTCAAATTGTCATTAGGTATTCTCAAGTAGTAAAACGTTGAACTAGGGCTACCACACTTATGTCTATTTTATTGTATACGTGTTGACTTAAAAAAAAAAGTCAAGTTTTAGCAACAGCAGCTGGAATTGTGACTGGGAAAAGATTTGTCCAAGCTTTCTGTCACACTTGGCAGTAACATTCGAAAGATCTAAATAAAAAGCCTACAATCAAAAAGAAACTCATCAAGAATACTGTTGTAGCATTACAAAGCTTAATTACCTGCCTATGACAACTATAATTTATGCACATTTCAAAGAGTAAGAAATGCATCTTGTGTCAATTTTCATGTTTTGTCCACATCACCTGGCCCGTGGGAGCCAAACTTCTGAATCTCCCATTTTCACTTGACTTTTACAACCAAAAGCTAATTCAGTGATGAAATCATGACCAAGTCAACTTACCAAGTAAGACCTTAATTCATTAGTTTCAACTTTGTCATTTATCATTCTAATATTTATTGATTCCAAAATTATCTAAGACTGACAAACATCTAATCTGGCCTTGATTCTTTGTTTCTGTTCATTTTGGTCAATGCTAACCAGATGTTGATTGGATAGGACCTCCATTGTTTTTATGTGCTGTAGGTTTTTCATGGATAAGAGTATGGATATATAAGAGTCACTTTGTAGATTATTTTTCTTCTGCAGTGGAGTGTTCTTTAAATTTGATGCTTCCTTTCAAGAGAACATTTTCTTAAAACAACCACAAAACAACCAGTTCTCTGAATATAAAGAATTTATTTTTAAAATCTAGAAATTAGTTTTTTGTTTTGCTTTTTTTTTTTTTCTTTTCTTTTTCATGGCTTTTGAATCTCTCAGTGCTGTACACAAGACAAAGGAAAATTTATTCCTCCAGCTAATGAGAAAGATTTCAAAAGACACCTAGACCAAAGTGGGATCACATTTTTAAAAAATAAAAAAAAGTCACTACACTTTGATGTTACCCAAAATGACAGTCTATAAAGGTGAGGCAGGTAAATGCCATATTGAAAAAAAACTGAAAACTGAAAATGTGGTATTAATGTAGGGATGATATAATTGTTCATAAGGCTTGTGACCTTGCTTAAAAAAAAAAAAAAAAAAAAAAAAAAAAAGTGTCTAATGAAAAAAGAAATTACATTCATACTTTGCTCTGAATAAAATAGACCTGCTCCTTTTAAGCAGAGTCCCTCATTTTTGGCTAGTATGTGTGATGGTGATAAAAGTTCTGATTTAAGACAAAAAATACCAGAAAACAGCAATGTTAATTCAGTAAGAATAATAAAGTCCAGTAGCAGCCATAAGTCATGTAATTAAACATCATAGTACAAAAATGCATAAAGTTAAAAATTTATGAGCTCTAACTAACAATCTAAATACACAAGAGTAAAATAAAATATAAACAAACATTTTATATTCATTAAAGTTGTTATGTATTGAAATATGTGAAAACATTTTTTTTCATTAAAAACATCATAAGAGTGCCATGCCAAATATCTCTATAACTGCTGAATGTAACAGAAAATAAAAGAAAAAGTCATGATATATACAAATCATGCCACAGAAGTATTTTAGATAACTGAAGTTGCAATCTTTCATAACTAAAATAAAACTCTTAGGATTCCTTGAAAGATCATACAAGTGCAAATGACAGCATTTTGTTTACTACAGACTATCTCTCCAGCATTTTGTATTTATTCCCGTTGTCAGATGACAGAAAAATATCATAAATTGTGACACACAAGTTGAGTTTTCAAGCCTAAAAAATATCTTTTCAAAACTAGGAGTCTACTTATATATAATAATATATATATATAATATATATATATATATATATATATATATATATATAAAATATGCAAATATTTTGCCACCAAGTTGTAAACAAGTGGAACAGCATTCCTAACAATTACTGTATGTCACTTACCGTACTTCCAGCAAGATGCTGCAAATATATCCCACTAAAACTTATTTGGTGAACACATTTGGCATATTAACACAGAAATTAATTAAAATAATAAAACAGTAACTCAAATTCAGTATATCAAAAGATATTACAGTTATGGTCTCAATATACAGTTAAGTCATGTGACCTTATGTATTTTTGGTACAGGATATTGTATACTGTAGCCTAACTCCATTTGCCAGTAGAGCTAAGTTTTAGGTCACTGGTGGCCTACCGTACATTTGGAGGTGGGTATCAACCTATATGTTAGGTATAGGCCTAACAGAATTTTGAGCTAAAATCTTGATGTTGACGTGTATGCCACAATTTACAATATATCGATTTATTTAACATCTCTTATCAAAAAGCCAAAAATACTAACTGCTGAATTTCTTTAACTTGTTTAAGGAAGCATCTGATAAAATATTTGAAACATACAAGCCTTTGAAAAAGTACAAAGAGTGAAACTAACTACATTTGAAGTGTCTATGATATAATTCATTAAGTGTGAAATTGTTTATTCTAGTAATAGACAAATTACATTTTCAACTATTGTCCTAGTAGTCGCAAGATATTTGAGGTGATAAAAAACAAAAGGAAAGAAAAAAGAAAGACTTGTTGAGGAGTTTAGTTCTTTTTACAAGCAGAATTTTTTTTTTTTTTTAAATTCATTTCGTTGTTGGGGAAATGTGAACATAAAGAGAAATTTCCACATCCAACTCAGATTCACTTCTCTATTAGAATTTATAGAAGTTAAAATCAAACTGTGGCTGTCATCACCAAAAATTAGAATTGACTACAAGATGATAAAAATGTAAAGTATTAAAAAGGAAACATAGATCATGTTATAATGCAAAATGGATTAGGTTGACAGTTACATAGCAAGAATTTTTGTAGAAAGAAAAAAGAAATTGATAATATAATAACTAGCTCAAGGGTTAAAAAAAAAAAAAAAAAAAAAAAAAAAAAAAAAATGAAAGACAGGCTGATTACCAGTCTCTTTTAGAGACTAAGAGAACTCTAGGCTAATATAATTTGAGAGCCCCTTCAGTACATATGTGGCTACTCTAGTCTTTGGGCCACAGCCTATACTAGCCCATATGTAAATCCAGCACTGCAGGTATTGTTTGTAAAGTGTAATTATCTATGAGGTACCTCTTATCCACCCCCAATAAAAATTCAGCAGTTATAAAAATATTATGAAGTCTGTTTTTCCGTTTTTTTTTTTTTTAGCCTAGAATATTATATAGGAAAAAGAAAGCTTTGATCTGTCAGTTAACTACATTGAAATTAATACATTCTAAATACAACAATAAAAAAAATTAAAATTCATTTTTATGTCTACTTAAGTGCTTCATTTTTTTTTTTTTAACAAAATCAAAAGGGAAATTGCTTCAGTTGGCTTCGTTGTATAATTTAAAAATATAGCTAATGTTAATATGATTAAATTTGAATTAATACTTGAAAAGTGTTCTCTACTCAAAGTTATTGTTTTTACTTTATATGCTTTAAAAATTAACCAATTTTATAATGTATCACTGGAATATTTCAGTTGCCAGGTTAAATGTCTGAAGTGTGAGTGTACGCATGTTAAAAGATCCAAACAATCTTCTCTACACCAATCCCTGTGTACCTCTAAAAAAACTTCAAGAAGAGGTCATCGTCAAAAGACAATTTCTTTGGCAAAAATGTCACATATCTGATCACATGTGGATTTTACTCTAGATGACTTCAGAGACAAACGTTGGTAGTTTAGTTCCATCATTTTCACCAAGGCACAGATCTGGAAATAAATATAAATAAAAAGTGAAAAAAAAAAAAAAAAAGGAAAAGAAATTATATATATATATATATATATATATATATATATATATATATATATATATATATATATATATATATATATTACATACATACATACATGTTTATAGGTATAAAATTTATATATAGTTTTAAAAAAAAGGAATGTATTGATTTTAAAAGTCTCTAAGGCCCTTTCAACCAACATCTCATCAGGAGACAATCGTTGGATCAACGAAAAGAATATTAATTACAATGAAGAGCAAAAAGAGGGGGGAAACACTAAAATAACAAACAAGTGTATATATTTGTAACGAGGGGAGGGGAAATAATCGTGTAAATAAATTAGCGAGGGACAGTTAAAATAAAATATCCCCCCAACAGATTAAGAGACTTTACAAATTCTTTCTGCCGACAGAGAGAAGGTTTCCTTAATCCTATGCAGACCGATTCCAAAATCTTCAAATGATTGTTGGAATCGGCTGTATGAATAATTTTAAACCACTCTTTTTTTAAACAACTTGGCGCAGGCTATATTCTCAACTAAATTTTGAGCAAAAGCCGATTCCATATTCATGGGGGGGAAGATAGCATATTCTATCTATCTTACCAAGTCGTATTTTGGAAGGTACATGCTGATTGATTCTAGTTTCCAAATGCAAGGCTGTATGCCCCCACATATGCCCCCACATAACCAGCAGCACACTGGCAATTAAATTCATATACTAAATTACTCAATTTGATGTAGGGGAATACATCCTTGCAAAATGACGGAAACACAGACCTAGTTCGAAAAATGCTACGTAAAGTACAAAGAGTGAAACTAACTACATTTGAAGTGTCTATGATATAATTCATAGACACTTCAAATGTAGTTAGTTGGAGAACCACATATATATATATATATATATGAGAGGATTAATATAAGTAAAAGCTTGTCATTTAACTGACTGATGTTACCTTCAACATCCAGAGTTTTGTAGGCAGAGCCCTCTGTCTACTCTTCAGGGAGTATCAGTAATTTACTGCTTATATTTTTCAATTTTTTTTTCTTTTTATACATTTATCATTGGTGCAAATTTTTTTCCTATTTTTTGTGTTTATTCATGCATTTAAGCATTTGCGGCCATGTACCTATCTGTGCAGCTACACACTTCTCTGCACAGATGTGTGTATATGTAGGGTGTCATGAACAGGACTGCTTTTCTTCATTTTCTTTTTTTTTTCTCTCCTCACCACTTTACACTTGCTCTTTAACTTTTTCTCTTTCTTTTTTTTTTTTTTTTTTTTTTGAGAGTTATGGTTTGTTGTGAGTTGTTCCAATTTTCTAGACATGTCACACATATACATACATATATACAGTAGCGTCCAAAACTAAGGGACAAAATTTTAAAACCTAATATTTGTTAGAAATAACAACTGTGAAAAGCTGAAATTTTGACAACTGGTAGTCGTTATCATCCATAATAACATACTAAAATTTGAATCATTTACAAAGGATAGAAAAAGAATTATAACAATTATTTATTTATTTTCAAATTTGGAACATCCAAAAGTAAGGGACATAATTGAGAAAAACAATGTAAACGGCAAAAAAAAACAATAAAAATACATGTACAATCAATATTTATTAAATGAGCCCTTGCTCTCAATGACAGCTGCACATCTTCGACTACAAGAACGAATCAGTTCTTGACAATCCTCGATACTAATTTTAGACCATTCTTCTTGAAGCTTCACCCACAAATCCTCCGTGTTAGTGGGATTTCTTTCCATTTCCTTTCACTCCTAAGGTCTTCCAAAGATTTTCTATTGGATTTAAGTCAGGACTTTGCGGTGGCCAATCCATAATTTCCAAATCTTGCTCGCTAAGGTAACTCATTACCACCTTTGCCTTGTGACATGGGGCATTATCTTGCATAAAGGTAGCCCTTTCGAAACCTGAATTCTGCATGATTGGCACAACATGATCTTAAACAATGTTTTTATAGATCTGCGCGCGTTTACGAGTTTGTAACCGGACAAGAGGCGTTGTACCTTGGCTAGAAAACATTCCAAATACCATGACCTTCCGCCCCCAAACTTGACAGTTTTCTTAGTACACTTTGCACTTAATCTTTCACCAATACGTCTCTTTACATTTTTTTTTCAGCATTTCCAAATAAATTAAACTTGCTTTCATCACTGAAAGATACTTTTGCCCAATTTTCATATGTCCAAATTATATACCTGTTTGCAAACTCTAATCTCTTATTCTTCGAACTAACAAGTGGTTTCTTCCCTGGGGTTCGATTAAACAGCCCTATTTCATGCAGTCGTCTACAAACAGCGTCTTGACACATTAACACATGAGGTACTATTCATAACCCTTTTAATTTCTGTGCAAGACTTAAAACGGTCCTTTAATGACATACGCTACATTATTCGATCTTCTCTTGCCGAGGTTTTGCGGGGTCTGCCAGTTTTAAAAGCACTAACTATTTTGCCAGTATCATTGTAGGATTTAACAACCCTGCCTACAACACTCTTGAAACGTTTCACTTTCTCTGAAATCTCTCTAATGGTGTGCTTTTCCTTGTGTAGCTTCACAGTAGCTTGGCTCACAGAGTAATCAAGTTTTTGGTGTTTCGCCATGGTACCGGCTGATGCAACGTTTACAAATGACTAAGTAAGACTTATTCTTTAGAGGAAATCAAAACATTTGAATATAGCATACTGTTTACATTGTTTTTCTCAATTTTGTCCCTTACTTTTGGACGATCCTATTTTGAAAATAAATAAATAATTGTTATAATTCTTTTTCTGTCCTTTGCAAATGATTCAAATTTTAGTATGTTATTATGGATGATAACGACTACCAGTTGTCAAAATTTCAGCTTTTCACAGTTGTTATTTCTAACAAATATTAGGTTTTAAAATTTTGTCCTAGTTTTGGACGCTACTATATATATATATATACACACACACTTCATTAAAAATGACTGACAAGGTACCGCAGTTAAGTATTTTGGGTTTTTTTTTTTTTATTATTTAATTTTTCTGGTGCTCTTATCATTTTTTTTTTTCTGGACATAAATCATGTCAAAATTATACGAATGTTCTGTATGTCCAAGCACTTTCTTCTATACTTTTAGCCATTATCAAGATGATTTCATTTTTACTTTTAACTGAATGTATGGATTTTTTTTTAGGTACATACCTAAAAAAAAATCCAAATCTAAAATTATAGGAATGTTTTTATTTTTCAAACACAGTCAGCACATTGTGGCCATGTTTATAGTTGATATTAATGCCTTTTTTCTTTTTTATTAATAATGCTCCCATTAGTTTTAACCCTAAGAAAATTATAAGACAAGAAAGCAAAAAAAAAAAAAGAAAAAAAAAAGTACCTAGTAACCCCAGTACCTAGTCAGTCATTTTTAATGAAACTGCCCAAATATACTATATATATATATATATATATATATATATATATATATATATATATATATAGTGTGTATTGAGTTTGTCGTTGCTTGAAATCTATGCAAACAAAAACAGAATATCATTATTGCCATGTCTGTGTATTGTTTAATATATTGTAACGTTATTGTCATCTTTGATGATAGCTTATGTAAGCCAAAAGCTTAGATAGGATTAAAACCATGGTGATTATTCTTTCATCTTTCAATGATAATGTTATTAAGCTTATCAGACAATATGAAAGGAATTTGCATAAAATAGACAAAACTTGTCTATATTATTTAATGAAATATATATATATATATATATATGAGAGAGAGAGGGAGAGAGAGCTTGTTAAACGGATAAATGACAATGAGAAATATAGTTGTTACACGTAATAGATTTTTTTTCTGAGATTCTGCAAACAATCTCTAAGAATAATCTTTCATAGCATTTTTTACTTGGTCATCCTGTGAAACTTATCTAACATTATTGAAGTTTTATTTCAGATTAGATATACCTTTGAGATGGAGTGCCAAGCAGACAAGAATGAGCATGTTCTACAACATCTTTGTTTTTGATCAAGGTCACAAAGCCATTGGAGACATGACTTCATTACTGACAGAATGGCACAGAAATAGTTTTCCCGTTTCAAGGAGGGGACGTTCAAACTCCTAGACTCTCCACATTTTAGCCGACCTGTTCAGTTTGATGAGAACCACAATTGGTTCTCAGTAAACTGACAGTACTGGAGTTGGTTTTTCTCTTGGTCAATGCATGTGGTACCCATGTTCAGGGTTTCTGGACCTTACTCATTGAGTGAAGATAACAAGCAACAATAACATGATAACTTGCCATCTTCTGAGCCAATACCCTAGTGGTCTGGTGTGGTTCTTTAATCAGTACATACACTTGGTTCTTATCAAACTGAACAGGTTGACCAGAATACAAAGAGTCTGTGAGTTTGAAATTTCCTTCCTTGAAACAGGAAAACCATTTGTCAAAGAGTCAAAGCCTCAAAAAAAAAAAAAAAAAAAAAAAAAAAAAAAAAAAGTTTTTTTTTGGAAGAACACAATTTTGTAAAATAAAAGGACATTTTTTTTTTTTTTTTTAAATATCCCATGAATCTCATTCTTCATATGCCATGTCCATTCAAGATGTAGATGGTCATTTCCTGTCCTTTGTAGTTCTTAATAAATTGTCTTTGTTATTTCTCCTAAACCTTGTTCCACCATTCTTTTACTTATGTTCAAGTGTGTTATAAACCATTTTCCTCTGTCCCTCTTACCATCAATCTGTCTTGTAAGTATCAGATTTTCTAAGCCCTCATTATGTGGCTCAGAAATTTCAACTGTCTCTTCCTGATGTTAAGTACATTTCCTTTTTCATTCTATTTTCTCTAAAACTGTCATTGCTCACATGTTCAGTCAGTGTTGTACATAAGACTAAGGAAAAGTTATTCATATTATTTCAGTTAGACTAATATCATCTATGGGGTAAGTGCCAGGGGTTCTTAGCAATATTTATTGGTAATTTGCTTGATTTTGATGCTCTTCATAGCCAAACAGTCAAAGCATGTCAGATTAAACATTTTTTCAAGAATGCATTTTATTTAATAAGTTCTCAAGTGTGCAATAAACAGAGCATCTACACAAATACAGATAACCACTAAAAATAATGTTCAAAGTAATAAAAATGTCAAATAAAACAATAAAATCCGTTAATTGTTTAGAAATTTTTATATAGTGTTAAGTGAAAAACGATGCAAAGGACAAATAACCACAACATTCTACAGGTACACACATATATGCGAATGCATGTATGAACATGTACGTATATAAAAAAAAAAAAATCTAGAAATATAAGCAGTCAATTGCTGATACCCTGACAAGTGGAATGAGTGATTCCCAGAGAGTCCATCTACAAAACTCTGGAGTCTGGATGTTGAAGGTAACATCAATCAGCTAAGTAACAAACTATTTACTTATATGTTATTATGTAATATATATATATATATATATATATATATATATATATATATATATATATATATATAAAAACCACTTTTTCATGTGGAATCAGTTAAAGAAAACAAATCATTCCACTTTTCAAAAAGTTTTTATATCATTCAACATTAAGTCACATAAAAAATTAATGTAGTTTAAGATCAAATAGAAATGAGATAAAATCTTGAAAAATTTCAGAGTTACTTACTTCACTGTTTCCTTTTATAAACCATTGTAAACATTGTAAGCCAAGATAAGCTGCAAAACAAGCAACAATTCAAATAAGTGCATTAGGCTACCTTTGGAAGAATAAGAAACCTTTTTTCTTTTAAGTCAGAAAAGAGAAAAATTTGAGCACACGTATATGCATTCTATTTGTTTAATACATAAGAAAAAAAAAAAAAAAAAAAAAAAATCAAATAAAAATATTTTAATTTAATGAAATTCCTAAATTAACACCATTAAAAATCAAATCAAATAAAAGGAGCTCAAAAGAAACCAAAAAATCGAGGTTAATTCATGAAAAGTGCAGGAACAAACAGTAAATATAATTTATCGATTTAATGCAATTACAAATATGAATACTGATTCTATATGTCTTTACACTGAAACTCCTTTTATAATTTTATGTTCTATAACTTACATATAATAAATAACACTATTTAGAGAAAAAACTTGCTTCCCTCAGCAATGTGTAAATTAAATAGAAAATTCTTCAGTTAGTAAGTTCAAGATGTGACATTAAAATAAAGAACACTTAAGCATTTTATTTAAGAAGTTATACCTGTATCTTCCAAGATCTCTTCTCGTTGCAGACATTGTGTGAGAGCACTGGACAAAGCTATCAGCAGGTCGTCATTCATCTGAATGAAAGAAACAACTAGTTTACAATTCAAATGTACATATAGGATATCCATTACTACCGATCAGTTTTCTCAAAATCTATTGTCAATTTCTGAAAATTCTCACACATATACAAGTTCACTTATTAATTTCTCAGCAAGTAGCAACACTTCAATTAAAGAAAAACTAAGCCAGTATTTAGAGCAGTGGTTACCAAAACAAGTGGAAAAAATTCATATGATATTAATGCGAAATTATGCCAAGAAATTTAATTTAGCTTCTATATTCATTGATTGAGGGAATAAAAAAAGAAGGAAGCATGACTAGATCTTGATGTATTTGGGATTTCTTTAAGGAAAAAATATCCTTCAGTAGCTGGAAAAAGCTTCAAGTATTTTTGGAACAGCCAATCAGTGTTCATCAGGTTGGGCAATAGAAGCTGCCAGACATTAGGTTGAAGTTTTCTACTTTACAATTTAGGCAAATTAGGATTTTTACTAAAATTAATGCAAAGAAAAAATTAAAGACTTATGAGCATTGAAGAGGACATAAGACTGTCTCATTTACACATTACAGAGAGACAGCCAAACAATTTTTTACTGCATTCTATAATGAAGAGGAGAAAGGAAAAGGAAAAAGGTTTTTTCATTGATTTTTTTTTTTTTTTACAGCTGACCAACCCTTAGCAGGTTATTTAAAGCCAAAAAATATTTTTAGATTGTAAGAATTTTTTTAAGACAATGTGAGTGATACGTTTTACTAATTAATCCATAGTTGGAGGGAGAAGAGTTGAATACATACCTTTCCCAAGGATATTCGTGTGTAAGTGAATATAATAAAAACCCAACTGGAATCGGAACTCAGCTCTCCAGTTAATAAATCCAAGCCATTATCCATTACACCACCTGCACATCCAAGCATACAGTACCTGGTATTCCCAAGTAGTCACCTATCTAGGTACCGACTAGGCTTGATGTTGCTTTGGTGATCATATGGGAACCAGGGTTTCAACATGATGTGGCTTAAGCCAGAAACAGGTTTGATGAGAAAATTGTCACTCAATTGTTGCATGTCAGGAAAATCTTTGGTCTACTACCAAAACACTACTCCATCCCAGAATTTGAGTTCCGTTCCTCTTACAGCAACCCACATGTATATATTGATTTTCTAAGCATAGCTTGGATGTGGCACAAGGCCAAAAATATAGAGCATCCACTGAGGATCGAACTCACTATTCAGTTGTAACTGTTTTAGCAAGACAAGCTCACTGTTACACGACACTGAGGTGCCCCAACACACATGTATATATGGTGGTTTTCTAAGCATAGCTTAGATGCAGCACAAGGCTGAAAGTGTGGAGCACACAGTGAGAATCAAGCTCACTACTGAGGCATAATTGATCTATAGCATGACAGGTTTTCTAACCATTGCCTCATGCCAAAGTGTAAGTGATTTTCTAAGCATAGCTTAGATGCGGCACAAATGTGGAGCATCCAGTGAGAATCAAGCTCACTACCAGATTGTAATTGATCTAGCAAGAAAAGCTTGCTATCCATTGCATCACATTGAAGTGCCCAAATACACATGTACATATTTAGCATTGCTACACTTCCTCTTCCTAACAATTGTTGATAATTATATTCTGAAGTTGTGGATATTTTTGGAGTTTTTTTTTTTAAATGCATTTTTAAAAACATTTTTGTTGCAACTGAAGTTTGCAGGGATTGTATTGAGTTACAACCCGCTTTATTTTTGTCTGCCAGCTGGACGTTAGCTGGGACCCTTACACCGGTAAGTGCTGTTTATTGTATTGTTATTCTACAGTTTCCTGCTAGAGTCATTTTTCTATTTTTAATATGCCGTAGATTATAGCAGAAATTCTAATTCTCAGTTGTAACAATCATTCCAAAGTTGATCTATGGACCACTAAAATATTACTGTGGACCTCCAGTAATGTTCTATAGACACCCTGGGTCCATATGGTTGAGAATCACTGGGTTGGATGATGATGCAAGAACCCTTTTCATGCTCGGTATTAAAAGCAAATAATTCTTCAATTCTGTATTTAAATACCATCAATATACAAGGATTTAATCCCCGATACAGAGAAACACCGAAAGCTAGAATGAAATGTGCAAGAGTGAAAAACTACAACATTAAGATACATAAAACCAGCAACATTGATATAAATGAGAGAGTCATCTATTAGAGTGCTAATAGTGACAAAACCTTCATTCAAGTAGATTATATTAATAACTGTACCGGCATTTTGTGCATGTTGAATGCAGCAGCTGCAGCTACATCATTGACATCACGTTGTTCTAACAGTAACCCATTAACCACAGCTTCACGTGTTAGGGACATGTAGGAAAAGGTGGTATTGTTTCCAGATGGAAAGTCAGAAAGATGAGGTCGTTCTTCAGATGAAGTCAAATAATCAAAACCAATCTTAGATGAGAGGCAATTGGTTACCTACAAAAAAAAAAAAAAAAAAAAAAAAAATGTCAAGCATATATATCTCAGTGTCATGTCCATAAAGAAATACATAAGTAAAAAATTAATTATACTGTCACTTTTTTTTGTGTCCATAAAAAATAAATAGAAATTAATTATATAGACAAAAATAATTGTAAAACAATTAGAATTATCATAGATAGGTTTACTTGCTGGCTGGCCACAATAGCCATCAAAGATATTTCAGCTGTAACAATTGCCAGAACTGTCCTTACTGATTGGATATCAGTTTTCGGAGTACCTTCAAATGCTCACAACAGACAGACGACCTCAGTTTCAGTCTACCCTATTTAAAGATTTCAAGTACAAATGGAAGGTTTCCACAGGCAACTAAAGGCAGCACTGGCTATGAGACCAAACAAAACTGATTGTGTAGATAATTTACCATTAGTACTTTTATCCATTAGGTTGCATTGTAAAAAATGACTTGGGGGTGTACACTAGGTGATATGGTTTTTGGTGCATATAATCAACTCTCCCATCGAGATCCGACGTATGAGGGTCAAGCAGACCAGTTTCCAGGAAACCGAAAGCCCGACACCGGCACATGAGATTTGACTATAGTGGTGAAGGCTTCGTGCAGGACCATCCACACTTTTTGAAGGAACGAATACAGAGACCTGGTGCACCAAATGCCACAAGGTTCCCAAACGACCCTCCGCAGGTTTTGAATTTAGAGTTGTCCTTCTCCTAGACCAGTTGCCATCCAAGGCTATAGAACCCAGTCTGTACTGCTATTTTACCCATAGCTGGAGGGAGAGGATGAGGATTCATACCTTTCCCAAGGGTATTAGCACGCAAGTGAATGTAATGGATTCGATTGGAATTCGAACTCAGCTCTGCGATTCCTCAATCCAAGCCGCTATCCATTACTCCACCCTGCCTCCTTTTGGTGCATATATATATATATATATATATATATATATATATATATATGTGTGTGTGTTTCAGAAGCAATAATTCTTTCAAACTAGAATTTTATTTTTTTTTTCATATAATAGATAATAAAAAATTCAACATACAGTGCCCTATGGAGAAAGATCGGTTATTTAAAATATTGACCGTTTCCTCAACACTACAGAATTTAGTCTTTCTGTGCATTGTGTCCTATATTTGCTGTTATCTACTAAAATTTGTCTTATGTTAATATTATTTTGTTTATTTGCTATATAATCATCTATATGTGCGCAAATTGCAATAAAAAATTTTATATAGGACACAAAGACTCAAAACTCTGGAGGTTGTAATGAAAGAGAAGCAGCCAGCATTAAATAAAATTATCTTATGTTAAAAAAAAAAAAAAAAAAAAAAAAAAGCATATATCTCTTCGCTAAAAAATGAGCATAGCATAAAAACAGCCTTAAGCTTGAAAATGAAATTTTATCATCTAAATGTTTATGCTATTATTAAGAGGAAAGGCCAAAGTATTTTTTTATTATTTTTAAAAATTTTTGCATCCTTTTTAGAACATTCTAAACTTTTGATAAAAAAAAAAAAAAAAATATTTCTCTTTGTGAAAGTGTCATTAGGAAATGACATTGCAAATTTTAGCACCTTTTTTCATTGATAGGCGTAAATTTTGAAAATCTTGCAAAAAAAAAAAAAAAAAAAAAAGATACAGTCAGATTTTAATGAAACTTTTAGGATTTATTCACAAATTATTGCTTTAAATGTTTTTATTTTGAAAGTCATGGTAAAAAAAGTTTTTTTTTTTTTTTTTTTTTTTACATCTGTTCCCCCACCATAACTAATTTTATGAAAACTCTAGAAATTCAATGCTGCTTTTTTAGTGAATACATTAGTTAAAAGCAGAAGACTTTGAAGAATTTAAATCATCAATTTCTTTTTGTAAAAATTGAACGATCAGTTACCAAAATTCAACTCTGAATTGCAACATACAAAACCCAATAAAACAAAGATATTTAATTTCAAAAGCTTTTAGTTGCTTTTATGAACAAGGACAATATTGTCGGAAAACAAAAATTTTTTTGGTGAAAATTAAATTTTTACAATTGTTTTTTTTTTTGTTGTTTTTACAATTTTTACATTAAAGTTCTTAAATATTTCAAAATTAGGGAAAAAGCTATCTGTCTATATTTCTGAGATGAGGTATTATGTACATTATTCGGACTATTGTCCTCATCTTTGTGGCCATATTTATTACAACGGTTCTCCACTGCCTTAACCAGGTATTCAATAGAGAGAAATTAACAGGAGATAACTGACATCCATTAAACATGGCACGTGGAACTAGAACAGTCTACCCCAGTGAGCGAAATAAAAGGTTCAGTTCGACATTCCAACCACCTGAATAAGGCTGGAGCATACAACGGCCAAAACGTTGTAATAAATATGGCGACAAAGATGAGGACAATAGTCCGAATAGAGAAAAAGCTGTTTATTTCATTTAGGCTATAGTGTTACTAAGTAGATATATCTTTACAGATTATAAATTATACAGCTTTATTACAATCTACAAACGACCAGTATGTACAAATAGAAATCAAAATTATTCTCCTGTCATTAAAAAAAAGGTTTATTTCAAATGTACAGATGGTCCCAAGAAGTGAGAAAACATCACATGGTTTTTTTGAGGTGTTAATTTATTGACAGTATAAAAATAAAAATAGTTGAGGTCTTCAGAGTGTAATAAGCTTTAAAATATATGATGGGTAAATATAGTTTTAATAACAACGTTCCCTAAAAATTATCAAAGTTGAACTTTAAATCTTTATAAATTATTCAATTTTAGAAAGTGAAAACAAATCTTGTAAAAATTCATTTTTCATAGAAAAATTTTTTTTTTTCTTCTGACAATATTGTCTTTAATATATATTATTCATAAAAGCAATTAAACACATCTCTAATTAAATAATGTATTAGTTTTATTACTATTTTTTTTTTTGTTTCAGAACAGATTTTGGTAAGACCATGTCCAATTTTACAAAATAAAATCAGTGATTTAGATTCAAAAAATTCTCCTTTTAACTAATACAGTCACTACTAATTATCTCAATGAATTTCTTCTCATAAAATTAAGTAATGGGGAGAAACAGATGTAAAAAAGAAATTCCAAATTGTGAATAAGTCCTGAAAATTTCATTAAGCTCTGACAATTATTTGAGTTTTGCAAGAATTACCAAATTAATGTGTGTCATCGCAAAAAAAAAGCAAGAATTTTTTAAGTTAGTTAAAAAATAAAAAATATTAGACTGCTAAAAGTTTTTCTCATCTTAAAAATTAGGAGGTAAATAAGCTGGCTCATTTAAAACTAAAAATGACTGTCACTTCTGTCAATCATCACCATTGTTAAGACATGTTTTCTCTTATTTTAAATTAAATTTTCTTGCAAAGAAAGTAATGTTTCTTTCAAAATATATTAAAATTAAATTTTCTAATTTTCTTCAAATAAATTTTGAAAAGGTATAATTGATTTTTGCAAGATTTTTTACATGGAGAATTTGACTTCTATTTACAAAATCCTGAAATATTGATTTTTTTTTTTAGTAATTTCACTAACTCAAAAAAAGATTTTTAACTAAAATTTCAGACATGCTAAGAAGGATTAAAAATTTTCAAAAAAAAAAAAAAAAAAAAATTATCAAAAAATACTTTGGTCTTTTCTTTTAATAATAACAAACATTGAGACAATAAAAAAATTTTTCATCACGTTTAAGGCTGTTTTTAATCATGCTATGCTCTTTTTAGCGATTTCCCGAAAGTACCTACATGTATATGAGAGAGAGAGTGAGTGTGTCTCTCTCATGACTTTTTGATAAAGTCATAGTAGATCCAAGATATGGCTTCAGGAGACAATTGTAAAGTTATTATCCAACTGCCAACAGTTTCTTGGTGAAATACAATGTTTGTTATTGTTTTTCATTTTGCACACACACACACACACACAAGCTGGCTTAACAAGACCACAGCCTAACATTTATTAGCCAATTTTTAATCTGAAATTTTTCACTATACATTTTAATCTATAGGATTAACGGAGAAGCGTTAGATTAAGTGGAATGGCACAAGATCATGTTAAAAATGTGTGGGACATCAAAAGGCCTAACATACATAAATACAAAAATGGCAGATGCATGAAAAGGTGTATATTCCGTGTTCACATGCCATCATTAGACCGTATTCCTACCATTTTGAGTATATCTATAATCACATCACGTGCTAAACTGTTGAACTCCAACAAGAGGTGCGCCATATGATGTTCTTGGTCATGTTTCAGCACTTGTATTACATCTTCTCGTAGCACCAACATCTGTAGCAGGGAACATGCTATAGACTTTACTTGAGGATCACTGACTTTATTGTTTAACACAATTTGTACTATAAAAAAGAAAAGAAAAACAAAATGTCAATTTTAATGGCATTAAACCGATTCCACTAAAAATGAAGTGTGCATGAAATATCCATTCATAAAATGTATTCAAATAATAGTAATGGTGGTAGTATTTAAAAAATGTCCATTGTTATATATATTGTACTCAGTTCAAGATGAGGGTTTTTAACAAAGATCAGCTAATAAGATCATTTTAAGCAAGTGTACAAGTACTGGAACTGTTTACAGACCTGGGAAAATGATATACAACGCTATGTAGATGATATCAAGAATATAAAACTACGTAGATGATATCAAGAATATAAAACTATGTAGATGATATCAAGAATATAACAAAGTGGAAAAAAATTTTGTGTGATGGGTTCCATCCTTTAAGATTTCATCAGACTAAAGTGATGTTTATGTGATTGCACATGCAAGAGTGAGGGATGCTGAAAATCTTTTAATATGTGTTTTGGGTATATAGTCTAGGCATTTAAATTTAGTTTCTATATCAAAAATATGTGGATTGTAAAATATTTTAAGTAAAATATTTTGGAAAATAAATTAATAAAATAATGTTGATCTAAGAAATTCTACTTAATTAAAAGAGAATGCATTTTTACAGAGACAAAAATGTATAGAAAGTGCTTTAATCACTAGATCATCCACAGTAAATATACATCAGGTTCTTACAATTCACCTTTCTTGACAGATTTTCTATTATCATAATGTGGGATATTTAATAACAAAAGTAATAGAAACGTAATAAATAGAAACTAAATGAAATCAGATAGAATATATACCCAAGATACATATTTAAAAAAAAATAAATAAATAAATTTAAAAGTTCAATGTCCTCTCGCCTTCATGCGCATGTGAAATCACATCAACATAAACATCACTTTAGTCTGATGAAGTCCTAAAAGGACAAAACACATCACATGAACATTCAAGGGAATCAAAAGTGCATAAAAACATCGATTTGACAGTTTTTTGTGTTTTTTTTTGCAGGCAAGAAAGTTAAACATTGCTAAATTTAAGAACTTAAAAGTAGCATGCATGTAAAACCTGTAAGAATATTAACTTCAATAGGTATCGTTTTGATTGTGTGCTAAGAAAAATCATTATCTTTAGATAACCAATAATTAAAAAATTATTTCTAAAGAGAAAAACAACATTGAAAAGACTGACCTAAAATTCTAAGGTGATTTTTCCCCAGTGAATAATCAGGAGATTCAATTGATAAGTATTCATAAATATCTTCAAGAAGAACCTTTTCTTCTGCTTTAAGTGCTTCAAACAACACACTACCATCTTTTTGTGGGGGCTGAAAAGAAAACAGTATATGCAGTAAGATGTCTTACATCAGTGAAGAGAGAAAAAGAGAGAAACTTACAAACTAATCACAAATTAAAAATATATGAAGACAAATAGTAAAGTAATCCAAATACACAATATCTTTTGCCGACAACCTTTGAAATATTTGTCCTATTTTCCTCCCTCTATTAAAACAATTCCTAAATATTTTAGTTTTTGTAATTGCTTGATTTTGGTGTGCATGAATAAGTGTGTGTGTGTGTGTGTGTATATATGAGTGAGTGAGTGAGAGAGTGAGTGTGTGTGAATGATGTGCGTGTGTGCGCACACAAATGCATGAGCAATCAAGCGAGTGCAAATGCATGAGCAAACAAGCATGTGTGTATGTGTATCTGTGTGATAATGTGTGAGTGAGAGAAATGGAAAGAGGAGGACATTTATTTAGTCTCTTTTTAATAAAAGGGAAAAGCATGATAATAATGACATTATCAACTGCAGCTTGTTTTTAATAATGAAAATAACATGTTCAGGAGGTCGGAAACAGTTTAGACGTGTCCCAAATGCATGTTAGAAGCTTAAAATTACTTTTTTTTGAGGGGTGCAACTAAATAAGTCCCGACTGAGTCTTTAACACACTGAAAGATGCACAGTCATCAGAATATATCAATTACATTTGAACTTATATTGAAAATGCCAGCATTCCCAATTCAGAAATTGGCAGCTTAATTCCATCCTCATAAGAGGAATGGAACAAATCTGATCTTTATATTCCACGGATTTTGAAACTGTCACTGGAGATGGAACCTGAAACATTACAACTTCATCACAGCAATCAGACACACCTCTGCTGTGGATAGCAATTTAATCAGAGAATAAAGAAGTCATCTAGTGGACAGAAAACTAAAAAAAAAAAAAAAAAAAAGCATTCATTAATCGATTTTCTCAAATTAACCTACGTAGACAAGTAAAAAAGAAAATAACTCTCACCTTTTGACCACAATATATGACAGGAGAAAAGGAGCCTGCAGAAGATCTACTGTGAGTGGCAGAATTGTTTGAGGTAGAAGTTTTTGTATTATGGCTGGACTGTTTAGTAGAAGAGGACGGAGCAAATGAACGAGAATCAAACAGCTTGGACCCTCCTGACGGATTCACTGCTAAATTATTTGTCATGGATTTCATCATACTGCCCAAAGGACTGGAGAAATTGAAAGAGAGAGATTTAAAAGATTACAAATAACATTCAACAAATTTTTCTATATAATATCATTAGGGCAAGCGTTTCTCAACCAGGCACACAGATGTGTCCTGAAAGGTGCCATCAAATTTAACAGAAGAATAATTTATTAATTATATTTAAAAAAAAAACTTTATTTTTTTTTAAAAACACTAGAGATACCAAGTAATGTAATGTCTTAAAAATAAATGCTTATCTCAGGAGATTTCTTTTATTATTTGGCTATTTTCATATTTCAGGACTAATTTTTCCTTATTAAATTTTCAAGTATGTCCCAGAGTTTTAGTTAGTCTACAAGAGCACACTGAAGTATCAAAAGATGACAAACATGACATTAAACTAAAAAAAAAAAAAAAAAAAAAAAAAAAGGGCTACACAAAGCTCCTCAGTAGATATTTTTGAGAGAAAGATTTATGGCTTAGTTGTCACCTATTTGTAACAACACTTACAGTCCTGTAATTCTTGTCACAATATTAAAACTTGAGATTTCTAACTTATGTCAAAAATTACTCAAAATTTTATGAACAAAGAATTAAGTTGACAGTTGCCTCAATATACATTAACTATTATAATAAAAAAAAAAAAAAAAAAAAAAAAAAAGAGAAAACTACAACATTAACAATCTTTTATATTTTGAGAAGGCTACAAAACTTTCTTTACATTTATTTATTTTTTAAAATAATTTTTCCATTATTTATCTTATCTGGAAGAAAGTTTGTGTGTGCATGCGAACACGTGTGATCTATGCATAATTATAGAAAATGTTTGCATCTTCATGACTATCTCCACTTCATATAGATGTATCAATTAAAACATAGTTCAATGAAATCCTACAAGAACAAAATGCATCACACAATTTATTAATTTTCCTTGCTGATACTTCCTAAAAAGTGGACAGATAGGTCCATCTACAAAAAAAAAAAAAAAAAAAAAAAAGAGTTGGGATACTGAAGGTAACATCAATCAGCTAAGTGAGAAATGCTGACTTATATATATACACACACACACACGAAAAGATTTTTAGTGCCGCATCAACTAAAAAGTATTCTTAAAACAGATGACCTTGGATTGATTTGTATAGTGAATCACGCACCGATAAGATCTCAACTGTCATGCACTGCTTCAATTTTGTACTAGTATGAAACATCTGGGCTACTAGGAGTGCTTTCCCATCTGTCTGTAAGATGTCTTGCCCACCAATCAACAGAGTTCTATTTATTTTAAGTGTCAGTGCGAGGCCGACTACGTGGGCAAGGCTCTCCAACAGCTAGAGGTGCAGACTGCATAGCAAATGCCTAGCTTTATATGCAGACATGCTCCATTAGCATCTGTGCACTCAGAGGCACACAAGTCTGTCATCGGGGAGCATTTATTGATTTCCGTCACTTGTGCGTCCAATTTTTCATTAGAGTTCTGTGCTGCACAGGGCTCGGATGAAACATCCTTAATATCTTGGAGGCAGGTATTATCAACACATCTCATCTGACTGTGTAGGCAGAGGGAGCTGAAACAAACTGGTACTCTTCAGTGAGTCTGTCTTGTTCTGGATAACTTTAAATTTTTCTTCTTTGCCTTTCCCCTCCTCCTTGTCTTTCTTAATCCTACTGAAAGGAGATTTGTTCCCTTACAGTAGTTTTTCTTAATTCTGATGAAGCGTCAGGCAAAAGGTATCTTAAAATTTCTATTTTTAATCAAGACAATACTTTTGTAACCAACTTTGTGATTCATAAAAATGTTCCTAGTTTTAAGAATTATATGTGTGTATGTGTAGATATGTATATATACATACAGTCCGCCCCCAAAAATGTGTACACACTTCAGGAAAGGAAAAACTTGTATAGATATTGTAATACTAAATTTATTCAAACATCACAAGATACAAGTTATCTGTGGACTCTACAATCACAAGAGATACTCAAAATGGTGGCCTTAAACTTCCAAACATTTATTAGCATGGCGAAATACTGTTTGGGCAACATTAGCCAAAATGTCCAAAGAGATTGATCATTTTTTTTTCTTCCCTGAAGCGTGTATACATTTTTTGACAGACTGTGCGTGTGTGTATATATCACACACACACTTTACATAAGAAAGTTCTACAAAGTTACTTACGTATTTGCTACTTCTGCAGGAAGGTCAAGAATGTGTGATGGTATTTTCTTTCCAGTTAGGAACTGGGCAACTTCATTGCTGAATGTATTACAATTATGATCAAATAAATTATACTTATCAGGCCTAAAAAAAAAAAAAAAAAGTAACCAAGTTTCAGAAATACAGCCTGTTCCATTTATATAATTTTATGACAAATGGATTATCAGCAGTAAACATCCCATTAGTAATGACAAAAGTATATTTAACATTTTATTTTTGCATTTTAAATGTACAAATGCTTAAAAATTCTATGTACTTTTACCAAAGTCCCTATGAGGAATTGGTAAGATTTTGTAGAGTATATAATAGAAGAGACCAAGTATAAAAGGCATAGATATTTTGATATTGATGGTAGCAAAACATTTTTGCTTAAGTTTTTTTTTTCTTTTACTTTTTGGTGAAAGTTTATTACTCAACAAATTTATTGATGCCTTTTAAAATGATAAATCCATAAAAACATACAGAAAAAGTGAATGTAGGATTAACTGGAGGATGAATATAGTTTTCAAGAAAATGTTTTCAGTTACCTGAAGCGATCATTGGACAGTTCAAACAAGTAATCCATGAAGATATCATAGGAAATTTGTGTAATGCCCAAATCTTTAATTTCATCTGGCTCTCCGAGAATTGTATGTGACTAAAAGACAAAAATAGCAGAAACAATTTCCATTTTACTCAGTAGACAAAGGTGTATTGGACAGCCATGGCTCAAGTATAAAGACAAGCTAAAGAGTAACCTCACAGCTGTCAATGTGCCTCGTACTAACTTTGAGTGTGTTGCCCTGAATAGAAATAACTGAAGATATTTGTGCCAGAGTGGTATCAGAAATGTCAAAAATCAGTCATATTGACCAAGTAAGAGATGAAAGACAATGGCAAAAATTTCTGTTGCTATGCCCTGAGATCCTCACTGTTGCACAATGTGAACTTGTATGCAGGTCACTAGCAGGACTGAAGGGCCACCTACAACACAAACATAAAAACTGAGGTGGTTGGAGATATATATATATATATATATATATATATATATATATATATATAGGCAGGATATCTTCAAACATTTCATTGAATAATAAAAACATTGTGTCTACTTATTTTTATACTGATTCTTTCCAGTTGTCTAATCAGTTTCTTGATGTTAAGAAGAAATTCATCAAGGAAGATCAGCATTGTACACCCTATCGTTAAAAAAATACATCTCTCCTTCAACTAAAAATCAAACCTAATATATAAGGAAAACTACTTTTGATTTGTGCCACTGAGGTTCCCTTTTATGACCATCAAAATAACATCTACTTATGTGATGGCGTTCAGTTCTGGGACCAACATTTAGTAACTTCTACATGGCTAATCTTGAAAATAAGGTCTTTAATGTGACTAACAAACCTTCCATCTACCTAAGATATGTAGATGATATTCTTATCTTAGTTAAAAACATAGATAAAATGCATGAACTAAAAAAAAAAAAAAAAAAAAATTTTTTCATTGTTAACTTTACTTATGAACTTAACATTAATAACAAAATCCCTTTTCCTTTGTGTATTGATAGACACTAATAATACATTTAATACCTCCCCATATAAAAACCCAAATAGTATAAAACATGCACTCTAAACTATAAAAGTGAATGCTATGACCATTATACAAAATTTGATACACTGTACAAAAATTAACTCCTCTACAAAAAAGAGATTAACAAATCAAAAATAACATAACACTTCCTCAAATAACCCTAAACATATCAACCTACTATACTAATCCATTCTAACTAAACAAGATGAAAAAGTCCTAAAAACCTCATAAGTACTAATATATTCCCCACTGATACCAGTTAAAAAACTAATTATATATTATACTAAATTTAACAACCAACTTAATCATACACAATAACTGTCAACTAGAGTTTTGGAAAAAGCCAACATTGTATATCAGTTTAAATGTCCTTTGAGAGATTGTATCTTGGACAAAAATGTAAGTACATATGTTGGCTTTACCAACACAACATTATCAAGAGGTCATACACTTAATTTGTCAGATACAATTTCTATTGCACAACATAAATCATATTCCTTCCCACCTTCACAATACAGGAAAATACTTGTTGACAATACCAGTCAGTTATGTGCCATGTGTGATACACACCTAGGCAATCGTGTATCTTTTGATACATGACTGATGAAGCAGTAGGTTGCCATTTCTTTCTGCAGTAGACCAGTTTCTATAGAACCTGGTCTGTCCTGCTATTTACCCATAGCTAGGAGGAAAAGATGAGGATTCATACCTTTCCCAAGGGTATTAGCATGTAAGTGAATGTAATGGATTTGACTGGAATTCGAACTCGGCTCGCCGATTCCTCAATCTGAGCCATTATCCATTACTTCATCACTAAGAAACTAATAAACAAAAATTTCAGATGCTCAAGGTCCTTTATATAAAAATCAAACCAACCAATGCTCAACAAAATTTATTATGACTATACCAACAACATATTAAAGTGTATATAACATTTAATACATATCTTACATTTCTACCAATTTCCACTCGGTTTCCTTATATTAAAAGGCTTGCTTTGTAAAAAAATCTCATAACTACAAAAGATAAATTTAAAATGATCTTGGGAAAGATCAAATTACTTGGGTTAGAAAAAAAAAAAATGTATGGCATATTCCTTGATGAAACATCAAGAAATTGATTAGACAACTAGAAAGGATCAGTATAAAAGTAAGTAGACAATACATCTATATTATTCAATGAAATATGTTTAAATATATATATATATATATATATATATATATATATATATATGAGCCTGTGTGTGATTGGTCACATAACTCCCACTCTGCTGTTTAAGGGTTAATTCTGTTACACAGAAATGAACATCTAGGCTAGCCTAATAATTCATAGAACTCTGACCTTACTGAGACAGTAGTGACAATCCATATACAGATGATCCTGTCCCTTTTGATAGATTCTATATTAGTATAAACAGTAATAGGAGAGACATCAAAAGAAAGAATTTAAATTCAGTACCAACCGGTTCACAATTAGAAATTCCATCTGATCCAAAAAAGTATTCCATGCCAAAGACCACAATGCCTGTGTGCCAAACACCATTAATCTGCTTGCCTGTAATTAGTAAAAGTTACAATTACTAAAGAGATAATAAAAGACAACTTCCTGTCTTTTACATTCTTAATGAAAGAAAAAAATTAAAAATTGTAGATATTTCTTGCTGAGGGCTACAGTACCAATATGTATGAAAGAGCATTGTTAGAGTGTATTGTTTAGTGTACCATAACTCATAGAAAAGGAAGAAGGTAAAACAACAGTAGGAATGAGGCTTCATTAAGGTGAAAAAGGTGTACTCATGTTTTTATTTGAGGTGATATACAAAATTGATTAGAGAGCTTGTCACACGTTTCCACCACATATGTAAGAGTTAGTATTAAATTGTATTTGCAGAAAAAAATCATATGAAGAAATTACACATATAGCTTTATTGTATAACAGTAGTTTATCTTCCAGTTCACACCCTCCCCAGTCTTTTGAACAGGAGTAGAGGTTTATCCCTTGTTTCCTATTTAGGATGGGGTTTCCAGTTCCTTCTAAAGTCTACTTCAACTTTATATGCCTAACATCTACAACTGAGCAGTTAAATTTTATTCACTATTTTATAATTTCTCGTCTCTCCTAATAGAAGTAGATATGTTTGCCTATCATCTAGTTCATACTCCTTCTCCATCTTTAGGATTGGGTTTCCAGTTCCTTCTAATGTCTTCTCATTCTTTTAGTTCCATTAGCACCTTGCATCTTAGTGACATTATCTTGCTTGTAGTAAATTTAAAAAAAAAAAAAAAAAAAAGTCACCAGTGGTTTCAGATGCTAATAGATTGATCTTCTGATGCCTCTGTGACTATCTTCAGTCATTGGGATCAAGTTTTAGTGGTTAGGTTATTTTGGGATTTGTTTCTTTTTATCAAGTGCACATAGTAACAACTATGGTCAAACAGGTAACAGTTCATATAGTATTGGAGTGGCTCAAAAAAATGAACTTGAGCATATGATTAGTCAGAAAATATTTTTATAACTTTAATTTTTCTTTTAAGTGGAACTGGCCTAAAATTATACAAATTTATTTCATTTGAACAGTGGCTGCTGAGGCAAGCACTTTTTCATTGAAGAGTTAGCATTCTTACAGACAACATCCTTCTCTAAGATGCGTGTGTGTATAGCTGGTCACTCGTATTCAAGGATACCTGTCTACTAGGGTGGCTAGCCAATCCCTGTTACAGACACTTGCTCAGGCACCTTTGTGTTTATTCAACACGCACAGAGCCCACCTGTGGTTTACACTGCAGCTATGCTGAGCAGACCTTAGTTATAGTTTCTGGGAAAAGAGTGTGTTATCTAGCGTGATCAACAATTTGAACAAAGCCAGCACACTCAAGCCTTCAGCCACGATGACTTGTGACTTTGTGCTAGCACAGCTATCGATGGCCCCCAAGGGTTCAATCTACCCAATTTCACTCAAGGCTTTAGTCAACCTGTAGTATGGTTTTCAGGCACTTTCCAAAAGGTGCAGCATGCTGGGATTGACCCCTCCAGTCCAATAACATCAGAAAGTCACCTTCCTGACAAATCAACCATTGTGAGAGAAACCCACCAGGTCTCATGGCCAGAATGCAAACATTGTAACCACTCGCCCATATATATTTTATTCCTCACTGGTATCACAACTCAGAATTTCATGCAAAACACAATCTTCAGGTGCCAAGTAGAGCCTGTCCATTACATAATTTAAATTTTAATAAAAAATATCTGTTTAATGCAATGTTGATGCAGTCCATATATTAGATGGGGGATAACATTTTTTATTTTAAAGAAAAAAAAAATGTATTGTATTTAAACTAGACAGGATTTATATTTCAAATAAATGAGAATTTATTTTATAAAAAAAATTAAAAATAAGCAGGGATTTATATTTTATATTAAACATAAACAGAGATTATTAGGTTTGTCTGCATAAAATAAATGGACTTAACTAAAAAAAATTTTTATTAACACCAGAACTGCGATCTTGGCAGAATATCAGGAACATTACTTAAAATGAGAGAGAGATCAAGTAATTATGAATTATCAAGTTACTTTCTCAGGTTTAATCTACAGAATGGATGTAGAGTCAAAAATAGCTGAACATCTACGTTTGATACACACATCTTAAAATCCTTGTTCAACTTCCAACTTCATAAGGATTGGAAATGGAACATGGCTGCTGATAATCAATATTTGATTAAAATTAAATTTTGTTAATGCTTTCCCAATATTCTGATGACTTGAATCACACAATGTTACTTGTTCTTTATACACTAATCTTAAGTAACTTTTTTTCCCCCCCCATTTATAACTTCCTTTATGCAGCTCTAAGCAAACGATTTTTTTGCACTGTATGGTGTGTGCTAATGTTCAGCTAATACAGGGCTCGAGAGCCACCACTCAAAGTAGAGATAGATTAGTTTTCTGCAGGTTATTTAAAGCCAGAAATATTTTTAGATTTTTTGGTGGGGGGGGATTGGTTTAGTGAGACAAGTTTTACTAATTAACCCATAGCTGAAGGGAGAAGAGATGGATTCATATATTTCCCAAGGATGTGCGTATGTAAGTAAATATAACGAACCCAATAGGAATTGTAACTTGGCTCTATGATTAACAACTCCGTTAAAAAAAAAAAAAAAAAAAAAAAAAAAAAGACGGCCTCACTAGAACATCTTCATTTCCCCTGTCCACTGACAATTGAATTCTTTTCTCCCCCTGGTTCCAAGATCTAGTAGCATGTGGAAAAGGACATCCCCACTGGACCTTGTTTGCTTCACCTGCGCCACTGACAACTGAACTCTTCACTTTCCATCATTTCATCCGACCTGCTTTTACAATAAAGTAAGGGTTCTATTTTATCATCAAAACACATGATTTGTTCAGATTTTTCCTTGCTAAGTTTCATATCCAAAATGGAACAGATCTAAAGAGTGCATGTGTAAGGAAAAGTGAGAGTATCCACTATACATGGTCAAACTTTTATTGTATATCATCCCAAAGTTGAAGAAGGGAGTGTCTACCTCTTGTTATGTAGATGTATTTTTAAAGTAAAATCTATCATTTATAACATTGGTTTATGGCCATATCATTTTGAAACCCTGGTTCTCATACAATTACTAAAGTTAAGCAATGTCAAGCCTGGTAAGTACCCAGATGAGTGACCAATTGGGAATACCAAATGCTGCAAACTTGGATGTGCAATGTCAGAGGTGGGTTGTAACAGATAACAGCTTAGAATTGGAGATCAGAGAACCAAGTTCCAATTCCAGCCAGGTTCATTATATTCACTTATATATAGATACTCATAGGAAAGGTATGAATCCACTTCTTTCTTCATCTATGGGGTTAATTAGTTGAACTTGTATCAGTAAACCATTGTTACCAACAAAGTATTCTTACAATCTAAAAATAATTTCTGCAAAAGTTCTGATAAGCAATAAAAAACAATCAATTAAAATCATTTACAACAGTGTAAGGCTATTCTTATGTCTTGGAAAATAAATTTGTGTACTTTGAAAAAATAAATAAAAATAATACCTAAGAACAATTTTTCCATCAAAATTTATTTTCTAACTGCTATAGTATTTCTTCATAGATAAAATTACCATCAAGCAGATAGTGATTTGAGACCAGCTTTCTACTTCCCATTCCACAAGGCAAAAATATTTTATTCTTCTATAAAGGTGTCAATATGTGTAATCTCTCTGTGTGTGTGTGTGTATATATATATATATATATATATATATTATTTTTTTTTTATAAAAAAAAAAAAAAAAAAAATTATAACATAAGTATGTTATAAAATCACTACAAAAATATACTTGGGTATATATATATATATATATATATATATATATATATATATACACACACACACACACACACACTTGCTTTCCAACCATGAAACCCAGGTTTGAATCTCATTGTGGTTGATTTATCAGGAAGGTGACTTCTTGAGGTTATTGTCCTGGAGAGGCAATCCCAGCATGTGGCACCTTTGAAAGTGCTGGAAAACCTCACCATGAGTTAACCCAAGCCTTGGGAGTGAACTTGCGTAGATGGAACTATTTGGGAGTCATTGATAGTTATGCTAGCACAAAGTCATTAGTCATTCTTACCAAGAGTTTGAGCGTACTGGCCTATACACCATAGGTGGACTCTGGGTGTTGAACAAACACAAACGTGCCTGAGCAGGCGTCTGCAACAGAAATTGGCTAGCTGCCTTAGTAAACTGGCAGACTCGGATACAAATTGCCAGTCACAACCACATACTTGATTGGCTAATTTTTAGTACTGTTATCAAGAGCCTTTTAATTGCTCCTTTAATCAAGCACTCATTAAGAAACTGCTATCAATCATTTGAAAATTAATGACCAATTAATAAAGTTTTTACCAAAAACAGAGTTGATGAAATTCTTACTCTTGTTTACTTAGCAAGTATTGTCCATAGGCTTTTTGATACAAGAAGGAAGTAGTCATCAGTCTGATAGTTTTACATACTTTTAAACAGAAAAAAAAAAAATCACGAAGACGGACTTCCTTTCTACATTTAAATCTACATATAGAAGAGTTATGTTATTCGAATTCACGCCTGAACTCAAAAAATAAAATAAAAAACTGAGTCACTTCCCACGTTTATGTTTGAAAGGAAGAAATTTTGCTTGCATTTCTGCAAAATGATGTTGAGTTATCTCCCTTCCTATAATACCTCCCATTTAGTTGGTTTTACTTTTAATTCAATTGTTAAAATATTTCGAAATGTGTCCGCACATTTCCATTGTAGTTAAGAAAATCTAAATATCAGCAAAATAAAATTAGTTTACAGAAAAAAGAAATGAAATAAAATTTAAGCAAGGAAAATTATACGAATGTATGGGTGTTAAAACATAGCTATAGAAAAATAAAAATCACACATAAAGCCTAAAGGAAAGATAAGATAGCATTTCGAGGGAAGTGAAAAATAAAGTATACACGGAAATAAAGAAAATTGAAATAAATATTAAGTTAAGAAAAATAGTAAATGACATTTTTAAATGTTTCAACGCCATCTCGTTTTTTGGGGGGTTTTTTCGACCTTAAAAAAAAAAAAAAAAAAAAGCCAGTTTTCCAGTGATCTTTTGAAAAAGATTTTCTAAATAAAAGAAATTAAAAAAATATTGCTTAGGAGCTGTGTAAACGAATACTTAATGTAAAATTAAAGAATATTCTTTTGACAATTAATAACTTCATTATATTTTTTTATTTTTAGAAAATGAGCAGATACCGAGAAGAGAATGATAGTTGCAAAGAACATTCAGCAAATAAAAACGAATTAATCTCCATTACGATTATTTTTCTTAAATTTGTTTACTGTGGTGGATAAAGATTCATTAAATTAAATGGCCTAATGTAAAAAACGAGGATAACAACCGTTCTTAAAATAAATCAATAGTTAATTAATTACAAGACGAAACAAAAATATACCAATAAAAAAATACTTTTTGTATGGAGAAGAGTTTAAGTTAGTTAAAATTCTTTAAAACATCTCGACATTGAAATCACAATATTAAGTTATTGGTTTTATTTTAGTTTTTTTAAAAATCATATCACAAAAATAAAAATAAGGGCGATAAACAAGGAAGTAAATTATTCTGAAAAAACATTTTTTTTTTAATTAAGAAAAACAAAATTCAATACAACTCCATAATGACCTCGAAAATGTATCAAGTTACTTTGAAAATTGAAATGTTAATAGTAAATATATAATTAATTATTATAATTGTAACAGAAAATAATTAAATAAATAGTGGGGGGACAGAATAGAAACAGTTCATTATCAAATCAATTTAAATCACTTACACTTTCCAAGTTCATCGGGTACATTTCTCAAAAAAGAAAATTAATGAAAAAAATATAAATACAAATGGAACGTACTAAGTCGAGAACTCACAGAAATAATTAACAATATTTAATTTTTATTAATAAGCGAGGGTTCGTTATTAATTTGAACGTCAAATCATAACTAAGTTAAGAAGAAGAGAAAGACAGCGAATGTTGCTACTAGAAGAAGAAGAAGAGGCAATGAATGAATGAATCTTATCTTCGGTTGGCTGTTGATATTGTAAGAGTTGGGGGTATTGGTACCTTGGGGGTCAACAATAGTACACGATCAATGTCTTGAATGAATGGCTAGCCTCTGGTATACGAAAAAAAAAAAGGTATTTGTATGGCAGTGTGTATGTACTTACCTAATAACGGCAGCGATAAAGCTTGCGCCATTCCCTTGGACATATCATAAATGTAGACTAGAACACTTTGTTTTACGGTATTATTACTCTGGGCCATACTTGTGTTCCGTGGTGTTGATGTAGCACAAAAACGACAAAACAGACTTGAAAGGAAATGACAAAGCTAAGAAGAAGAAGAAAAAAAAAGAAATTGTTATGGCTGTAGTAGTGTGAGGTCTTTTTAGTTATTATTACGCAACGCCTCTGTTGACATAACTGCTGTTTTTAAAGTGACGAAGGCGTAATAAATAGTGTACTGTAGATTAAAAATGAAAGCCTATCCTAAAAACGTTGGTTAGTTTAATTTTTAAAAAATAAAATAAAATTTTTAAAAAATAAAATTTAAATTTTTAAAAAAAGCTTTAATCTTTTAATTTTTTTTCTTTTCGCAACCTCTAAAAAAACTAAATTAAGTGGAGTTTCCTTTCATAAAACCTGAGCACGTGTGTATTGTTTAGAAAAAAAAACTCAGGAAATGCGTAATAAAGGTGTTGAGTTTACTAAATTAACTCTACCAAAATCCAAGGCACTCCTCTTCCCCTCTCTCTCTCTTTCTTTCTTTCTTTTTAGATAGGGTACAATTTAGTTAAATTAAAATAAAACGAATTAAATTAATTTCTCACCTTTATGAAACTTTAAAACAGAACAGGTTATCCACTATATTTTTAAAAATGTTTTTGGTAACGATAAAATTGTTTATAATTGAATGAAAAATAATGTACATCCACATCATTTTTTTTTTCTTTCTAGCTTTTTTGCTGTTTACTGAGGGTCATGGAAGAAGCCAACTTAAACAAAAACAAGAAAAAAATAGTTGACTAAATGGAACTGATAAATATCCATTAAACTAAACACCTGTATAGTGGTGATAATTATGGTGGCGAAGAATGAATTCAAAGAAAGCCTAAGAATAACAACTTTTCAAATTCACTACTAAGAGTAAGACTAAAAAAAAACCCCCAAAAACCTGGGTATGTATTGTTAAATTACCTGAAAAGCAATTCAGAAGCCATACCATAAAGGTATTATTATTATTATTATTATTATTATTATATATATATATATATATATATATATATATATATATATATATATATATATATATATATATATTTGTTGAAACAATTTTCTTGTTTATTTACAATACATGAATACCAAATTACAGAAGAAAGCCTGTCCCTCCTTTCTCTCTATTAGATTAGTGTTAGAAAACCAGGCTCTCTAAAACTTTACTCTGCCAATCACGGTTCTTTGGTCTATTCAGTAATATTTTCATAGTATAAAAACTTTTATTAGTACTTAGCAAAATATTTCTATGTATATGTATATGAAAATATAAAAAAAAAATATTTTTTGCTTAATTTAAGTGTTAAAAAAAAGTCTTTAATAATGATTCGGAAAAATAAAAATTGAATCAGTTTAAATAAATGTCCGAAATGTCATCGAAATCTGAATCATCAGATCTTGACGAGATCTCAAAATAATTTTTAAAAATTCCGTTCATTGGTGACTTTTTGTCTACAATATTATTTTCGCAATTCGCTCGCTAAGTTAAGTCAAATATATTTCTTATTGAGGCAGTTGCGTCCCCTCTGTCATCCAGTGGAATTACGGTAAACTATTGCCAATTAAAGTTGACATTGACTTTTTAACAGTCTAAATTTTACGTTATAATTAAGATTTTTATTTTTTATTATTTTTTTTTCGAATTTATCAAAAAAAGAAGAAAGATTTGATAAGAATTCTAAAATATTTTAAATACGTTTTTTTTTAAATAGGCTATGATTCTTGCTTTAATTACCTATTCACTGCGTCTTGGAATCGATCTCGAATACACTATTAATTAATTAATAGAAAATTTCTATGAAAGTCATAGTAAGAATTCAGCAAATGAAACTATATTTGGACATGAAATGCTATATAAATTTTCCGATTTCTGCCATAATCGTAACGTAGTTAATTTTTTTGGTACTTGTATGAAATTGTGGTCCCGGTTGGAATATAATAATTTTTGTTATAATTGAAAATCAATTACTTTGAATTTCGAAATGGAAATTATCAATATTCTTTGACTATCCAGAGTCGGTGACTAATCGTCGTAACCCTCGCTATCTTATCAACATTTGCTTTTATTCTACCTACATTTACATCAGTTCGACTATTAAAAAATTTTTTTATTAAATATTTAATTACAGTGTAACCCGGATATAAGAGAGTTGTCGAGATCGAAGAAGTCTCTTATATCCAGGTTTCTCTTATATCCGGGTTTGGTCTATTTTGTTTAGGTAACACAGGCTCTAATTTGGGACCAGAGAAAATCTCAATCATATCCGGGTTTCTCTTATATCCGGGTCTCTTATATCCGGGTTACACTGAAGGTCTTTTTTGTCCAAATCCGTGAACTTGTTTCCCTCATGGCGAGACTAAAAGAACACTCTATAAAATTCACTATTTTTCACTCATAATGTTAAAATTATTCAATTTTCTAACAAGAAAAGTCTTAAGTTGATGTTAAAAATTGCCCCAAAACATTGTTGATTTATTTAAGACTAACCGAATTGTCCGCGTCTTGCTGTGTGTCACACATTTTTTTGTAAGAAAATGATGATTGATTTTAAGTCATTATTAGAATTTTTGGAGAAAACTGATGCATTTCAATATTACCCAATCATCTTGCCAATGTGACCTCCATCTTCTGGCTTTCGCCTTCTATATTTTTGATAGAAGTCATTCCCTTGTTCAAATTTAAATTTAATTTAAATCAAAGGGGAAAAATTCAGTTGGGGTGTGTACAAAAAACATCTTGATCTGACCCCTCTGATGCAATACTTGATCTAATTGATGAGCAGATGTCAAGATTGATATGACACTTGAATTGTCGCAACAAATATGTATTGCAAGACAGTACCCACTGATTGGTGATTTCTTGCTCAACTTGACGTCCATATTGTCTCATTTTGATCTTGCCGATGTGACCTCGACCTTCTGGCTTTCTCCTTCTATATTTTGAATAGGAGTCATTTCCTTGTTCAAAATTAATTTAATTTAAATCAAAAGGGAAAAAATCAATGAGGAGAGATGCCCTCCGGGAACCCCCTTTGATCAAAATGAAATATACTTATCCAAGTACCTTTGGTAATGTAGTTTCAGAATATATATGGTTATGGGGGTCTATCTCCAAAACACTCGGTGGAGTTCGCTAACAGACAGACAGGCTACAATTTTATATATAGAGAGATGGAAAGATCTATCGTGACATGTCTCAAATTGGTATTTTTAGATTAATTCCATTTATTTTTAATTTTTCTAGTTGAATTGTTCGCTTGTATGCCATATGATCAATTATTGTACATAATTAGGTTACAATAAAATTTCTTTGTAATATTACGTTATTAAAATTGAAATGTAGTAGATTCGGAGAGGAAATTGGGTTCTTTAGGATTAGGTGGCAACTTGCCCCCCCCCCAAAAAAAAACTACTTGTTAACAATAAAACTTGACATCCTGATTTGCCCTCCCTTCATTTGGAACTTTTACCTTTTAAAATTATTTTTCTCTTTTTTTCCTTCACTCTGTTCTTGTGTTAATCTTCAAAAAATAAACACGTGTATAATTTTCCTTTCATAAATTGTGGACCTTCCTTATTTCAATTTGACCGCTGTATATTTGGATATGTCTAATGTAACAGGTTATGGGCTCAGAATCGCGTTTGACGGCGATGAAAACAATTATGAGATGTTTGAAAAGACATTTATTGGGGAACTACACAGACTAAAGTTGAAAGCCGAATTGAAAAAGGAAGATGAAGTCGACCCGAAAAAAAATGTACAGTGGGTTATCAGTTATAGTGAAGTGTATGAGTGTTGAAACAGATTAGTTTGATTTGGCCTTGTTAGTTAGATAGCCCACCATAAGAAGGATATAAAACAAGAAAATCAAATTGTAAATTGAAACAACAAATTTATATACATATAAATCAATTAAGGTCTCTACAAATAAAATTAATGTATTTTGGTTGATACAAGGTCGTCAAAATGTTCAAAGTAGTCCTTGTAAGAATGAGTTTATGTGTACGTAGGCAGGAACATGTGTAGATCTATGCATGCAAGTATGAGCGTTATCGTAGGGTAGGAATGTCTTTGTAGTAATCGCTCAGTCTTAAAATGTTCTGTTCGTTTATCAAGTATAAAAGAGATGAGGGAGAAAGGTAGAGATAATAATAACGATCGCTTGACGTTTGTCAAGGGACGTGTTAATACACTCGTCTCCTTCTCGCTGGTGACCGGCAAACTTGCCCGTCTTTTATTTTGTTTGTGGGGCTTGAAAAGGACATTTGGGAATTCACTCCCAGACATGATTCGGGCCTTTCCATTGGACGACGAACAAATTTCGCGTCGGCTGGCGAAAAGGTCCGTAAAAAGAATTTGTTTCTGAGAATTGAAGATTATTTAAATTTTGTTTTTAAATGTTTCTTAGTTTTTTATTGGCCGAAAAACATTTCGCATCAAGGTGTAAAATTTCACGAGTTTTGTTTTGGATTCGCTTTTGTGTGTGTGTTAAGCAAAGTTTGTAAATTCGAGTCTTTTTAATTTCTAACAAAATCAATGAGTCAGTGCTTAGAATTTGAATTTTAAATCTAGATCTTGTTTTGTTCACTATAAACTCAAAATTGTGCTATCGGTGTGGAAAAATGTATAAAATTTTATTATTAATTTAAATTATTGCTCTGTTATTATACATCAAGTATTATTAGCACCAGCGTGCAATGTAAGATAGATAGATAAATAGAGAGGGAGAGAGAGAGAGAGAGAGAGAGAGAGATGTGTTTGAAATTTGAGGCACAGCAGTAATAAAAGTAAATAAATTCATCATCTATATATAAGAGAAAGTGCACATGTACCAGGTCTGCGTATATTCCTAAAATTAAAGCCACTAAAACGTGCCGTAAAATTTTTAACCTAATTAAAAAACAATCATATAAAACTAGTAAACAGTAGTTGTAGTATGGCATTTTTTTAACTGGAAGCTAGCCTTATTGCTACTATCTAATGCTGCTAGTAATGCAACCATCCAACCTATAACAGCGGATGGTTTCACCAGTATGTTTACTACAGTTACCGAAATTGTCAAAAGTCTGAATTCTTACAACGTGATGAAAACGGAAATATGAAAAGTCAGAAATTGTTGTCAAGTTATTTTTATCCAGTCTCTTTCCTCTTTCTTTATATCTTTTATGTAATCTAAACACTAAAAAAAAAAAATGCGAACTTGCATTTAGAATGTATTTACCGCTTGGTGTTGCATTCAAACAAAAATTCCTTTCTTCCTTGAGAGACATGCGTGAGACATGCCTCTTTTCGATTTATTTGCCAGAAGAATTCCTGCAATAAACTGCCATTACCGTCTGCAGTAAACTGGTTGCTAATCAATGATCCAGCTTATTTAATCGCCCCGGTTATTTAACCCATAGCTGGAGGTAGAAGAAATAGCTTCATATCGTTTCCAAGGTTATTTGCACGTAAATGAATGTAATTGTAACTATAATTTCCGAATCGTTTTCCATTACACCACCCGCACATCCAAGTTTACAGCACCTGGTATTTCAAAGCGGTTACACATTTAGGTACTAACCAGGCACGACGTTGCTTAACTTCGGTGATCGGACGAAAACCAGTGTTTCAACGTGATATGGCCTTAAGCTATATAACCGAAAATTATTTTATGTTAAACTCTTTGGATGCCTGGTATTCGGGATACGTTTTTGCTCCGTATTTTGAAAGATGATGATACATTTTATTTTTAAGAATGGCGTGCACATTTTTTTTGTAATGTACTTAATAAACACACGCGACTGAATACGTTCGAAAATCTTGCTTGCCTCACACACACACACACACACACACACACACACACACGCTCTGTCTGTCTGTTTGTCTTACAGCTACATCACGTTGAAACACTGGTTCCCATACAACCACTGAAGTTAAGCAACGTCGAGGAGTCTGCTCAGTACCTAGATGGGTAACCGCTTAGGAATATCAGGTCCTGTAATCTTTGATGTGCGGGTGGTATAATGGATAGTCTCCGAATTGTTAGTCGGAGAGCCAAGTTCCAATTCCAGTTGGGTTCGTTATATTCACTTACGCACAAATACCCTTGGGAAAGGTAGGAATTCAACTCTTCTCCCTCCCATCTATGGGTTAATTAGTAAGACTTGTATCAATAAAACATTATTATCTCCCCCACCTAAAAAAATCTTACAATCTAAAATTATTTTCTGGCTTTAAATAACCTGCAGAGAATTTCGTTCACTTTCACAAATTTTATCGCTCAAAAATACCAAACTGATTTCATTTAGCCTTGTGAACCTCTCTACAGAATCAATGACCAGTAACCCAAATAGCGTTACACCATAAATGGCGGGTTTGTAAGCCAATTCTTTATGTCACACCTTGTCAAAACCCTTTGAAATATCACTCTAGGTAATCACTCCAGTAACAAACCCACTATCCAACGCTTCACTGATTCTGTGGTTGATAATAGTCCAAATATCAGTGTGGAACTAGAAGAGCGAAATCTATACTACTTATCACTCGGGAAATTATTTCTGGTGAGACGATCTACCATTTCCTTGTTGACAAGAGTTTACTAATAACTAAGGAGGCTGATGGGGTGATTCTGCGATGGACATGAAAACTCACCAGCATTCTTGAACGACTAACGACCACAAATTTCCCCATTGGGAAACCTCTAGTCAGCCCAAACCAGAATTTACAACAAAAGACTTCATTCCTGTTAGTTTTTGGAGAACCATGAAGAAGGTTCTTACCCGAAACAAATAATCTGTGTCTACTGTTAATAATGCACCCCTAAGTTATTTTATCGTCACCTAACAAGGCGGAACTGTTTGCAAATAACCTTGTTTCAAACTTCACTCCTGATAACTATGGTCATCCCCTACTTTTCTTCACTGAACACAAGCTTTGTTATTTCATTATCTCAGCTCGACAATTTTCCTCCCAAACTTATCAAAAATCTTGATCTTTTAAAGTCCAAATAAAATCCCTCTTGTTTTACTTAAATGCATTTATACAGAATTATCTTCAATCTAGGCAAAGTGGTTTAACAGTTGCCTGAAAGAGAAACTCTTCCCAAATTTGTGGTCGTTAGTCGTTCAAGAATGCTGGTGAGTTTTCATGTCCATCGCAGAATCACCCCATCAGCCTCCTTAGTTATTAGTAAACTCTTGTCAACAAGGAAATGGTAGATCGTCTCACCAGAAATAATTTTCTGGGTGATAAGTAGTATAGATTTCGCTCTTCTAGTTCCACCACTGATATTTGGACTATTATCAACCACAGAATCAGTGAAGCGTTGGATAGTCGGTTTGTTACTGGAGTGATTACCTTGAGTGATATTTCAAAGGGTTTTGACAAGGTGTGACATAAAGAATTGGCATACAAACCCGCCATTTATGGTGTAACGCTATTTGGGTTACTGGTAATTAATAATAAAAATGGCGACTTGAAAACGAGTAAATAATGAATAACTTAGCATGAAAAGGGTTAACCAATACCTGAAAATAGGCTGATAGTAAGAATTGTTCTCAGTTAATCGAAATATGTACAATGGACCAAATGACCGCTTGAAAACGATTCTCAGTTTGTGCGAACAAATCAACTGTTGACAGCCGGTGACAACCAATGTCTGATTCAATACGCGAGATATCAGAATGAAAAACAATAAATTGAACAGCTAAGTGCCAAAAAATTTCCCTGGGAAAGTGTCTCTTGTGTCAGAGGTGAGAGAGCCAAATGTGGTGTCAATTCACTTATGAGAAAAGTGCATTTGAAAACATTTTTTTATCAATCTTCGCCCGAATGTTGGAGGTGACATGCGCAGTAGAGCGATCAAGGAAGGAAGAGGGGTAGTCTGCACCCACTGAAGAGTAGCAGGCACATAGTAGACATTAAGGAGGTTGAAGGAGCTGCTCACGCCCACTGGAGAGCAATAGTGAGAGATGGTACTAAGAGAAGGTGGAGGCAGACGGGCGGAGCCTTGTCTGTAGCCCTCTCCCAAACGAGAGAGGGAAAATTCCCCAAAATTATGAAACTAATTTTGATTTCTCAAGACCAAAAAATAATAGACTTTTGCTGGAAATCAGGGGGATTCACCGAAACCCAGCCAACATCTTGCCCCACAATTGTTTCTAGTTGGAATCCATAAAAATGAATGCACGAAAGCCATACAGACAATTCAGTTCGACAGCTGAGTTGAGCAGAGTCAGAGTTGACAATTGAGAAGGGAAGCGACGGAGGTCGCTGGGAGATTTCAAAACTTCTTGCCAAACACAAGATCCTCCAACTTCAGCCTTGAGTCGAACTTACCAAAACAGTAAAACAAATTTCGATGATTATGCAAGCCAAAAACTTACCAGCTTACCCAAGTATTGAGTTCCATTTAGGAACGGGTTGGGTCGACAAACACCTGTATGCGAACCCTTGTACACTGAATTGATATAAAGATAGTAATTATTTTTTATATATATTTCGAGTGCTGTTTTGGGGGTTTTTTTTTCCAATTTTATTGTACCACTTCGCTCGACTTGGACCAACGCGACGAATCTATCTTGGCCTCCTTATAATCAAAATAATCACAACGTGGGGTAAGGCAGGTCAGGATCGAAGAGGTCATTGATCAAACCAGGATCGGAACTGAAGTGTTGTGAACCAGAATCGATCGAGGTATTATATTTGGTTTGCTGTAAGCCAGGATCGAGTTAAAGTATTACATTTGGTTGCTGTGAACCAGGATCGACTCTGATGTATTACATTTTCTCACATGGGCCTCAACCAGGATCGATCCTGAAGTATTACAATGGCATCTCTGGAAGAGTTTACGCAACCATAATGTCCGTTCTTTAAAGTAGATCCTTGAAAGTTATTGTGAATGACCATCTTTCCGAAGTCCATAATATCAATGTAGATGTCCCCCAGGGCGCAAATAACCTGCAGAGGGGTCTCCGCCGAACCATATGTGGCAGCAGTATTCAAAGCATGGTTGAATAGTAGACTTATATTATAGATATGTAAGACAGATTATGGAAAGAAAAATTATCTGAAACGACACAACGAACCAACTTTCTTAGCAGTAGACCTAGCAATGGATTCAGTGAAACTGGGAGTTGTGCTTTTGGTGAGAAAAATGTATTATTAATATAAATTATAACTCTGTTATTATACATCGAGCATTATTTTATTAGCACCAGCACTCAATGTTAGATAGATAGATAGATAGATAGATAGATAGATAGATAGATAGATAGATAGATAGATACTCGGTCCAATTGCTTTTGCATTTCATTAACGATCTACTGAGGAACCTTGATTTATCTTACTCCTGAAGAAACTCACAGACGGGAGATAAGTCACTGAATTTTTTTATTTATTTACTATTAATGCTATATTTATTGATATCGAGCATTTTATTCACGGAGTTAGGTTACTTTAAAAGCGTTATCCTCCAGTAATATACTGGTTGATGTGTTTTCGGGCAATAAGATATTTATTAGTATTAAAATATAAATAAAAATGTCTTAGTGGCTTTATCACCTTGTTTGGGGTTAAATGATTAAAAAATGTTTGGTTCTCTGGTGTTGGAGACTGTGAATGTATCAGTTTGTAATAAACACCAGTAAAAACATTTCTCAGGAAACATAATGAGGAAAGAAGAGTTAGAAAATTTGACAGTACGTATTGAAGGCAGTGGGGGCAGAGGGAAACAATCTGTGTAACCTGCCTAACAAGATTTGGCTAGCAGAACAAGGGATGAGAAGGATAGTGAGAAAGAAACATTGCTAGAGCTTCATAGGACAGGAAGTTACGACATAGGGTGATGGAACGAAGAAGAAGAAAGGGAGAAGGAGAAGAAGTTTTAACAGATGAAGGAAAATGTAGAATTTGAGGACGCGTTGAAATAGCAAAAAGTAACCAAAGTATTTGGAAAAGAGTACTGAACTGCTATGTAACATCAGTCCTTCTGTATGACACTGAATGGTTGATAATTTTCTCACAGATGAAGAAGAAACTTGAAGCAATAGAGATGTGGTCCTACACAAGAATTCTAAGAATAACATGGACGAAGTATGCAAACAACGAGGAAGTTTTAAGGAAATTGAAACAAAAAGATACTTATACTTAGAATCAGAAAGAGACAGTTGAATTTTTTAGGACATATAATAAAAAAGAAGGTTTGGAAAATTTGACACTCACGGAATATTGAAGGCAAGATGGACAGACATAGGAAACAGCGAGTAACCTACCTAAGGAGCTTGTGTAAATGGATAGAAGGAAAGGGAGTGATATTAAAAGACAAACATTGCTAAGAGCTACAAAGAATAGGAAATTGTGGAGAGTTATGATTTCCCACGTCCTGAAAGTTCACGGTATATAGAAAAATAAAATTAACCCAATTTTCGTTTTGTGGCTAAAGGAGGTATCTTATTTTATATTTTAAATTGATAACACGATACCTACTTTTTATCGCTTCTAGAAGTTCAATGATAAAAAATCTAGCCTACAATATTGTTATCCCTTGAGCAATTTGCTTATTCGTTTTGGTCCATATATATTTTCGATTTTTTATTTATTTATCTATGTATTTTGAATGTCATGTCCTTGGTATGAGAAATTATACAAATTGGCAATCTGATCTGTGGTCTTCAGACACTAGAGGCTATCGTATGGCAGCCATTACTGTTCCTAGGAGTTTTTTCTCTCTCTCTCCTTTGACGATACTTCGTTTTAAGTTAAGTGACTGTGTTATGAGACTGCCTAGATTAGGGTTCTTATCAAATCCAGCCAGCTCGAATTACAGTCTTTTCAATGCATAGACCAAGCAGCATAATGAAAAGCTGTGAAGGGTCACACTCTTTGCAAAAATTAACCGCGGGGCGCAAGTATGCGTGAAATAGAAACATATATACAGAGAGAGAGAGAGGGGGGGAGGGAGAGAGAGAGAGAGAGAAAAGGAAAGCGAAAATAAAGGACTAAATATAAATTGCAAGAAGACCTAATGCTTGGTTGTTAACAAAAGGAACAACCCAACCTTAGAAATTGGAGATACCAAAATCAAACAAGTGCAAAAATTTAAATATCTGCGAAGTCTTTTAACAGAGAACGGAATGTAGGACACTGAAATCTAAACAACGTATTCGGAAACAGAAAAATTTTCTTAGAAACTAAGAAAAGAGTACTGAAATGTTACGTAATATCAGTCCTGTATGGCAGTGAATGCTGGAAAATCTCCTCACAGATGAAGAAAAGACAGAAATGTGATTCTACAGAACATGTGAGCAATGACGAAGATTTAGAGAAAATAGAAACAGAAAGGAAACATACTAAACATCAAGAAGAGACAGTTGAAATTTCTAGGCCACATTGTGAGGAAAGAGGGCTTAGAAAATTTGATACTCACAGGACAGATTAAAGACAAGAGAGACAGGGTAAAACAACACATAAACAACCTAGCGAGATTGGGTAAATGGGTGGCAGAACAAGGTTTAGGAGAAACAAAAAGAGCTAAGAAGAAATTGTGGAGAGCCATGATCGCCTGCGTCCCGAAGAAACACGGCACATAAAATAATATTAATAATGTTGATGATCAGCAGGTCTTAGTTACAGTTCAAGTATCTCTCTCTCTCTCTCTCGTGGGACACATTAGAGACCATGAAATCATTCGCTTAATTTATTCTGGTGAACACCAAAAAAAAAAAAATTAATATTTGTAAAAAAACCGGTTGAGGGCTTCCCTGAATAGTCTCGCGGGTCCCATGCGGCCGCATTTTGTGCTTGCCTGACTTACGTTATCGTGGCTGTCTTTTCTTTATTTTTTTGGCGAATTATCATGATTTCTTGGGAAAGATAGTGGCATGGCTGCCACTAAAGGCTAAAGAACTCTTCTTTGCTATTTAACTCCTAAATAGGTACAAAGAGATGGATTCATAACTTGGAATTCGAACTCGGCTTGCTAATTTCACTTTCCGTCATGCAGGTTTCGATTAGCCCACCAAACAGCATTTTTACATTCACTTACTTCTTTCCTTCCTCTTTCACATTGAATCCTGAATTAAATAACATAACGGGGCATGTCGTAAGACCAACCAAGCAACAAAAAATGTGCGAGACATCTCGGCGCGGTGTGATGGTTGATCATCACTGAGTAGTGTTCGATACTTACTGTGCACCCTATACTTACGGGTTTATGCTAAAGTTGCGCTTAGAAAAAAAATTAGGGCGCCTAGGAATAGGGGTGACGGTTTGCCTGCTAGAGTGGTTGACTATTACTACACTGAGTGTCACATACTTGTGTTTTACCGCTAAACTCCGCTTTTGTAAAAAAATAAAATTGAGGCGTCTAGGCATGAGGTGATGGTTTTCGAAGTAGTGAGTTCGATCTTCACTGGATGTGCTATACATGTGGTTTTGCGCTAAACTACACTTTGTAAATAATTTAGGCGCCTAAGAATAGGGAAATAGTTTAAGGTTTCGTCATGAGGTAACGGTTTAAGAGTTAGTATGGTTGACCATTAATACCAAGTAGTGAGTTCGATCCTCACTAAGTGCTTAAACTTGTGTATTACTAAATCAAGCTTAATAAACAGCAATAGTTGCTGTTTTTCTAATTGTTATTCAATAAAATTTGATGTTTGGGTTTCTGGGGTGGTAGCACCAGTTAGTGCCCCAGCTATGAGCAAATAGTGAACACCCCTACCCCCAAAAGAATAAAAAAACAAAATACATTGAAAGTATAAAAACATTTTTATGGTAAAATTACAAGCAATAAATTTTTATACAAAAAATTACCAACAATACATTTTATCTGTAGTTGTAGGCATACAGTTGCGATCAAAATATATTCAGTTGAAGACATGCGATTTTGGCATTACATAAACCATAGAGATATTGATATGCCACCAAATCAACCAAACAACAAACATGAAAGAACTCTTTTATGACATTAATCCATATAATATTCTACAATTTCTTAAAGAAATCAAATTGTATTCCAAAATATAACTTCAACAAAACTACAACATAAAACACATAATAATTATGTCTATACTAACATGTATGTACATAAAAGCTGAGTATTATCTACCCTGGATGAAAGCAGTAACAGGTCATTTTTTATTACTTCAAATCTCCCACGAAAATTGAATTTCGGCATTAAATGACCCTTAAGGTGTGATATGCCGTTAAACAAACAAATCAATCATGTTTGGGTTGCAAATATTCTCTTTTATATCTATTGAACCGGGTGCAAATCCGCAACGACAGACAAACTCCCTGAACAAACACACTATTCATTTGGTGCGCCTGGTGTAAAACAGCAACGACTGATAAACTCCCTCAATTTACTCAATAATCTCTTCCTGCGCCTCTGCTTTCTCCTTTACACGATTCTTCTTCAACGTTGCAAAAGATTTTTTTTTGTTCCTTGAGTGACGAGTGTTCGGCGTTTTTATGTCCTTTTCTGCCCTCCTTCATTTGCATGCGTGAATTCATTTTCCGTGGTTTTACGCGACCGCCCGCGTGAGGATACGTGACCATTCGCAATATAAGCTTGCTGGGGGCAGCCATGTTTTTTCCAGTCAAAAAAAAACAAAAAAACTTTGCACGCAGAACATATACGCGGCCTTTTGCGATCAGGTGCATGATTATTTTCGTTCCAATTTTCACTACAACTATCTTCATCTTTCTCCACGAATAGAAGTGTAATTAAAAGTTTATAAATGATTTTTATGTCGGAAGAAAACTCATGTCTTCTCACAATCAAATTATGAAAGATAACAACGTGAAGGAAGTTAAGTTTAACGGAATTAACTTCGCGTCCGGTAAGGAGGAACATGTCTAACTGGTATCATCTGACTGTCATCCAGTGATTGTTAGCGAAAAGGAGGTCGAACTAATTGGCATTGATTCCTCGCCCGGTTAGGGAAAGACATGAGCGACAGGTGTCACCGGACCATCATCCAGCATCTAACAAAAAATCATACTTGGGACATGAGAGAATATTCAATCAATGTAGCCAGTTAGAAAATATAAAGAGGGAAATGAACAGGTTAAATGCTAATATTTAGGTGACTGGCAGCTCGTATCCGAGTATGCCAGTTGTCGTAAATAAGAGATGGACTGCGACACTCCTTTACGACACCATATTCGTTTACGGCCCATTCTCCGGATTACGACAATCAGCCATGTTCGAGAATACCAGGAGCACATATGATGTGAACCCTGCTGGTATTTTGCCGAATAAAACTTGGTTTAACTTATCTTCCGAGTCTCAGTCTTCATTCTTGACAC